TGCAGTCCCGATTGTTTTATACTTTAAATTATTCATTTCGTGTCTAGCGAATCAGGTTGTTTGGTATGAGGTGGTTGATTCTAAGTCTATTGCTAGGGCCCACAATCGGATCTGTCATAAATGTTTGGGTGTTATGACTGTTATCTTGTATCTTTTCTTGATTTTGATATAAAACCCGATCATTTATATTTAAAAAAAACTATATTATGAGAAACGATCTGGTAAGGTGTGCCTGACTAGATGTACCGTATGATCAAGCCCATTCAAGTGACTTCCGGGTCGAGTATTTTGATGAATTTTGTGAGATTTTTTTAATGAATAGTCAATTATGTCATCCAAATTTCATTTTAAAACTCTATCGGGAAATCAATTAAATCAACTATTGAAAAACATTGCGCTTTTTATATGAAGTGTAGGCACACCATTTTAGTATTTTTTCAATAATTTATTTAACTGAGTTTCTGATTGAATTTTATTCTCAAATTTGGTGAGGACAATCTAAAGTTCATGAATAACTTTCTTACAAAAAATTCATTTAAAAAGTTGAACCGGAAACTCCTCAAACAGGCTTGTCGTACCGGACATCTTGCCTAATTAGATCATTTCTCACTATATTATAATACTACAATTAATTGAGTGATGAAATATAGCCTACTGATGCTACGGTCATCATTTAATTGTCCGTATTAATAGATTGTCCAACATTTAATGCTTTGATCCTATTTTTATGGAAATTAAAGATTAATTAAAAGTTTGCTCGAAAAAAAAAGATTAATTAAAAGTAATATGATAAACCTTATCAAAAGAAAGAAAATATCAATATACAAACACATGTAAGTCAATTACACACGTAAGTCAATTACCTAATAATAAACATGTGGCACTAATTACAATGATTGATACGTAGTGTTAAATATAGAAATATTCATAAAATGACAAAAGGACCCTATAAGTGCGTACACGTTCCATTGAAAAAAATTGATGATCTAATGGCTCTCATTTATTCTTTTCCCCTCTCCTAAGATTAAGTTCTCACATGAACCTATATATATATATATATAGGGATGAGTTCAAATGAGAAGACATCTTAACGTGTAAAATGAGAATTAATCCCAGATGTCCAAAGTGTCGATCTGATGCACAATAACCCCTATCTTATGCACTTTCGAATAGACCTTATTTGATGCAATTTTCAAAAGTGCGTCAGATAGGGGTTATTATACATCAGATCGACACTTTGGACGGCTGAAATTAATTCTCATTTTACACGTTAAGACTTTTTTTATTTGATCCAAATTCAATATACATATATATATATATATATATATATATATATTGATGATTTACAAAATAAATAGTTTACAATAAATTATCACAAACATAAAATACCATGTAAAGATTATTGTTATAAAGATCATTGACAAATAACTTATTGAAAAAAACTTCAACTTATAGTAGTTAACATGTCTCATAAAATAGATAGAAATGAATAATAAGGAAGCGGTCCAATTCAGCTGGTCGCCGACTCACTCTCCCTCTCTCTTATGTGAGGTCTCGAGGTTCAAAACTTCATGGACGGCGGACGCGGTTCCAACCCTGTTTACCCTAGGCTCCCAGGCCCCCTCTCCTTGACCCCCGAGGTAAAAAAAAAGAGAAAGAAAGATAGAAATGTGTAATTTTCAAAATAAGGACCAATAAGAATATCTATACCGGTATTCCGAGATCTGCTCATATCTTGCTGTATGTTCTTCCGTTTCAAGCGTATTATATCTCGTTGGAAAGATCATTTTGAGTTCTAAAGCTATTGTTCTGACTCAATTTACAATGCATTGAGTATAAAGTACAGATTAACCTTAAATTCACAAACATTTTTGAATTCACTCCGAACACGTGTAGAAATTGATCTGCTCATATGCAGTTGCACAAATTGAAGGTGGATACACATTTGCACCTTGGATGAATGCTACATTCAATTTTGGGATATTTACCTAAATAGGAGTAAATCAATGTTTAATTGCCAAAATAGAACTAAAGTGTAAAAATTCCCTAAATAGGAGTTATTATTTGTAATTAGAAAAAATCACCCTTGAAGCTTGGAAGTCATAAAGCCGCTAACCAGAACACTGGACCACCACCATTCGCCGGCTGCCACCGGTCACCGCCGGTCGTCGGCCATCACTACCGTCTCAAAAACTAGCCGGTGTTGCAGATCAGGCCGTCGCTGATGCAGATCTGGCGGGATTCGCCGGAGATCTGACCATATCAATCCTCCGTCGGCCGTAAGCCGCTGCCCCTGCAGATCCAGCCACCACTGCAGCTAATCCGCCACCTGCCGTTGCATCGCCGACCTTCTCAGTTGCAGATCTGGTTGTTTCCGACGTGAATGCCAAGGTTTTATCAGAATGCCATTTTAATGGCAATTTAAAAGGGAATACAACATTTTTGAAGACTAAAAATGCCATTTTAATGGCAGTTTCAGAGTTTAACTTGGCATTTTGTAATAATCAAAGAAGAAACGAAGCGTGTAGAGAGAACTAGAGTAGAAGAGGAGAAAACTCGATCTCCGGCAGCGGCGGCGGCGGACTTTGAGGCAGCGGCAGCGGACTTTGTGGCAGCGGTAGCGGCAGACTTCGTGGCAACGTCGGCGGCGGAGTTCATGGCGGCGGCTATGGCTGTGGCTTCTTGTTCGTTGTTGCTGTGTGAATGAGAAGGAGAGGAATATGTGCAGGGGTGGGGATGGGGATGATGGGCTGCACAGGAAGAATGATCAATGTGTGCAGGGAGAAGTAATCGATCTGGGATTCTAGGGTATGGGTAGGAAAAGTAAGGAGGAAGCAAATTAAGGGTAAATGGGTAATTTGGTCTTATTTAGGGGAAAAATATATATATAGTCCCATTTGAGAATTTCAGGAACAATTTAGTCCTATTTAGAGCAAAAAAACTCTTCAATTTTTGCAACTCATGCGAAAATAAGCCTGAAGATGTGAAAGTTTACATACATCGAACCATCACTCAATCTCAGAATACCATCATTGCGCATGTGTATCTAAACCTTGTAGATATCCAAGTTGGGTCGGGCTTTTTAGCAAATGGGATGGACGAGCACCCACGGGCTAAATGGTGATCCCTAGACATCATTTAATTTTATGTTTTAACTATATAAAAAAGATGAACGGTAATTGTGATTTTTGTCTATAATTTTCATGATGTAAATCACGTGCATTAAATGTAACTCGCATTGCGGCACTCGCATGTAACTAAGATTGAACACGTACCTTTTATAATATAAGTTTTTGGGGGTTAAAATAAAGCATATTAATTCAAACATAAATTTATTATTTAATACCTAAATATATAAGGTTTATTAAAGCATATCTTATATTAATTGCATGTGTGCAAAATGTAACTTGAATAAACACATCGAAATGTAAATCATGTTAATTGACCGTAGCACCGCCCCATCCCCAACCTACATGCCTCAACGCCCCTGCCCATGTGCCACCCGACCCCCACCACCACCTGACCGCAGCACCGCCCTAGCCCCGCCACCACGTGACCCCAGGCCGCCCAGTCCTCTGTGACTCGCAGCAGCCCAACCAACCACTGCCTTGCCTCGCCCCAGCCCATAGCCCCTCTGCAACTCGCCAACAACCACCATATCTGAAATAGGGCAGCGAAATGAGATCGATGAAGCTGGCGAAAAAGAAGACGACCAACGAAGAAGAATAAGAAGAAGGTAGTGCGCAACGAAGAAGAAGGCGACTCACCCTAGCCCTAAATAGGGTGGCAGTGGCAGGCGGAATTGCAACAACAGCATGGACCTTGGCAGCTGGTGGAGGCGAGGCGGAGGCAACCGGTGGAGGCAAGGCTAAGGCGGCCGTCCCTCGTGGCCGGCGTACGCGAAGCAGAGGTACCAACTGTGAGGTAGATCGTGATGGAGAGAAGCCCGATCATTTCCAACTTTGTGAAGGGTCAGTTAGGTTTAGCTTTTAATGTGATAACTTTTTTTGTCCATTTTTAAAATAGTTGTATTTTTGTCCAACTAAAGTGGGAGAGTAATAGTGTAATACTTCCTCCGTTCGGGCATGAAAATTAAGACACCAAGTAAATGTTTTGAACTTCACTATTTTACCCTTTGAAAGTACGAAAAGGCAGTCATTAAGAAAGAAGTGCTATAGTAACCAACAGTGGAAAGAAAACAATACACCCTGCTGTACTTTCACTTTCGTCCGCCTAACTGACTGCTCATCGGAAGATCCCCCTTGAACTCGGCTTAAACTCCGATAAATGGCTCCCTCTCACCCCGACGTGAAGCCAGCTCAACAAACCGCTTGTCCGCTTCCGCAAATCGTCATTCCACGTGAACATTGATCAGGCCGCCGCCTAGAGGCAACCATTACCACCATGTCTCTTAGCTCATGGGGAGTAACAACAACAAAATCGGTTTCATTCCCTACCATTTCTTCCATTTCAGTTGTAATCAAAATACAAATCAAAGAAAAGAAAAAAATGAGGGAGATGTTGGGGGAATAAACAGAGGAATAGCTGAGTTGGTGAAGATAGTCATAGATGAGAACATACACAAATGGAAGAGGAAGGTGGTGTAAAGAGGAATGGAATCAGTTTTGAACTTCATTATTGACGAAGGATGGAAATCAAAATTAGAAACGAAGAAGGAACCCCAGCCTGTCCTACCTGTTCAATTCATTCCACGACCACCGGGATCCTAATTTGAATTGTCCTTGAAGGAGGCAGCTTCCATGGCGGATCATACCTTGTTAACTCAAAGTCCCCAATTACTTTTGAGTCGGTGGGTATGTATTGTACTATTGGGTGGTGAGTAAATAAATTAAAGAAAATTTCAGAGATCAAAAGAGGTAGGCCATAAATAATGAAGGGCATAGAAGTCTTTTTGTCTAGTTTTTCCTTTCCAAAATAGGAAGGTTACATTTATTTTAGAACTATCGAAAAAAGAAAGTGTTACACTTGGAATGACTCAATTGAAATACTTATCTCATTCTTGGAAAAGAAAATGACTCAATTGGAATGACTAAAATGGACTGGATAGTAGCAAACAGGATGTATAAATTTGACCGGACAAGCGGTTTCGGAAGATAGGGGAAGGGGATGAAGACCGAAAGGCAGCAGAAGCATACAGAATAAAAACCACCCCTTCTCCTCTGGTAATGGAACCCGAACTCTTATCCGGATACGGACTCGGATCCGGGGGCATGGGAATCCCCACTACCTCCAACAGCACCATCGTTGCCACCACTTCATCTCCACCACCTTATGGTGAAAATGATGGTCAGCGTCCCGACTATCATGAGGATCCTCATCATCCATCCGATCAAGTTCCCCCCTTCACAGCTGCTCTCAGCGATGATCTTCGCCTCAATATTATCAAGCAGGCAAATATTTCTCTCTATGATCTCTATGTCGGACATATATGATTCTTCCGTTCTGATCATTTGGAGTACTGTATGGGACGGGTAGGGTTTAAGCTTCAAGTGCCTGTTAATTGTTGGACTTCTCTATGCAAAACTTTTTTACTGTGAGTGGACTAGCAAAGATGTTTTCTTTTGGACTGTTTTCAGTCCCGGATCAGACCAAATCAGATCAGACCAGATATCCGTAGTTATAAAATACACAGAGATAAACGTTTATGAGACCAGATCAGACCAGATCAACAAATTTCAGTCCAAAAGAAAACATCCTAAGTCTATCTAGGACTTTAATTTATTTATTTATTTATTTATTTATTTATGATTTATTATTTATTTATTTATTTATTTATTTATTTATTTATTTATTTATTTATTTATTTATTTATTTATTTATTTATTTATTTATTTATTTATTTATTTATTTATTTATTTATTTATTTATTTATTTATTTATTTATTTATTTATTTATTTATTTATTTATTTATTTATTTATTTATTTATTTATTTATTTATTTATTTATTTATTTATTTATTTATTTATTTATTCGTTTATTTATTCGTTCATTCGTTCGTTCATTCATTCATTCATTTATTTATTATTGTATCATATCCATTCAGAGAAATTCTGGGACTACAAATATTAAAGAAATTCTGAGACTTTGGATATACTATCCTTCGTATCGCATTAGTTGCAATATTGCAAATTACACGTATTCTACTTTGACTACATTTTATTTATTAATGTATTTGAATTATTTTTTTTTGAAAAATATTGTTGAATTCGTCTCATTAAAAAGTTTCATAATATGATTTTTAATTATTTTTTACTAATACAAAATTAAATATAATGATGGTCAAAGTTGTGCATTGGCAAACATGAAAAAATGAATGTTGCAACTAAAAAAGAACGGAGGAAGTATATAACTAACTTTCACAGAAAAAAAGAAGCATACCATGTAAAGAAAAGACTACAGAATGCTTACCTAGATTTGTTACAAATAGCAGGTCAATGTGGTCCTGACCAGTCATAAATTGAACAAAGACGTTTTAATGTGCTTGTTTTTATGGATTTTTAGAGGAAGTCGACTTGTGACAAGAAATCAGGTTCTAGGGAATGATGTGTCCTAGATAGAGTTGAATGCAGAGAAAGGATACTCAACTTTATCATTAGAAGCAGTTCTTTCTAGCCACTTAAAAATCTGAGCCTTCAGTTGGCTTCGTGTATTGATTAGGGCTCTGTTAGGGACATCTTTTTGGTGCAATCCCATGATTAATAAGCCTCTAAGGCTCTAATTAGCTTTTCATCTCACCACATGATTGTTAAATGTTATTAATGACTCGGCCGACAATTAGCGCGTCATTAATAGTTGCTAAACTTTTCTCTATGCGCGTTCCGGATGGCAGAACATTAGCGCGCCGGACGCCTCTAGGAAGGAAATCTTTTATCTACGTTCCGGATCTCTTATGCTCTTTGATCTCTTATTATCTTAATTTTTTACATGTATAAAATAATTTAAATATATAACCATATAACAATCAACCCTAAACCCTAATCCCAATCAGAAATTTTATCTGTTTTAAATAATACTCTCTCCGTCCCATTTTACCTGTCTTACTGTCCTTTTTGGGTTGTCCCAAAATAAGTGTCATCTTTCCATTTTGGAAAGAAATATGTGGTTCACAACATTTCACTTTACTCAAATCTCAACCACAACTTTTACCTTTTCAACCACTTTATTAAAAATTGTGCCAAAACCAAAGGAGACACATAAAATGGGATGAATGTAGTAATAAAGATGGTTTGTACAATCAGATTGTTTAAATTTGTAATTTAACACTTTAACAAAAATTTGTAATTTAGCTATGTATTGTATAAGTTTCTAAGTTTAGTAGATTATAGGTTTATTATTCCATCCGAATCATAATATGTGTCACGTATTCCTTTTTGTTCCACCCTGCTCATCCACCCAGAAGCGTCCTCTCCATTAAATACCTATAGATCCACCTTCCTTCCTGTCCGAAATTTTCCTCGGCGTGGAGATTGCTCGCGGATGAATGAAGTCACGTGGGAGCACAGTGATTCCTCTCGCGATATGGACAAGCTCTGGTCTTCATACTGCGGTCGTCACCTTGTTGTCCTCGATCTTCCCCTCGAGCGATGGTGACCTTGCTGAAGAAGTAAGTTGGGTATCTCCATTGTCGTGTGCATGTTGCGCAAGTTGTCCACTGCTGTTTGCATCTGAGCCAAATCACACTCTCCAGGTTGTCATAGTCGTCAAGAGCTCTCCAGGTTGTCGCTCTGATACCAAATGATAACTTGATAAGAACTCCAAAATTGAGCGTAAATTGGGTATATTCAGAATAGAAATTGATGAACTGAAAAGGAAAATTACAGATGAGGAAAGTTCGAGAGTGTCTCTACTACCCCAGTCCTATTCCAAGCCCTAACCAATTTTTGCCTACCTCATTTTCCCCTATCGGCTCATTATTATAATACTCTTATAAGGGCCGGCCTTCCACCACTAAGTACTGGGCCTAGAATCCTTTTATTATGCAATATTAAAATACCTAATAATATTCTTATTAGGAGGAATGTCTTGGTTCCTATGAGATATGAATCTTGAAAATACTTATGTGGAAGGGTCAAGTGCAAGATTAGATAAGCAACAATGGGAAAATTTAGAAGAAGATGTTAGGCAAAGGATTGAGTAGTTTGTGGCAAACTTTGTTAGCTGTTTTTGAAGCTTTATTTACTGTTTTATTGAAGTTGTAGCTACAAACTTTGTTTATTGTTTTATAGCTACTTTTGTTGCTCCAATTTAAAGCTTTATATACTACTACCTCCGTCCCTTAAAACTTTGTCAACTTTTCTTTTTTGGATGTCCCACTAATTTTGCCACTTTCCAATTCCAGTTAATTCTCTCTCCTCTGCACAAACCTCAACCACACAGTTTTTATTTTATTAATCCCCATGCCGGTCAAACTTGGGAGAGTTTTAAGGGACGTGAGTATTTTTTTCAACTTACTTTTGTTATTTTGCTAAATATATGACATGTTGAACACTTCAACTTATAATTGAAGTATATTCAGTTAATGAATTGTGAACAACCAGATTTTGGAATTCGGATTGTTAAATTAATTTTTTAACATTATTAATACTCCCTCTGTCCCATTAGGAGGTTCCAATTGCGGTTTACGATGTTTGACTGACGATAAAGCAACTTAATCCCTGTTCACACTCTGATTATTTTTAGTAAATAAAATTTACATATTCAAAAACTACATTAAAACCGCTATAAAGTCTGATAAAAAAAATGTAAGTTTGATAAAAATTTGATATATAAATCAAAAGATTAAGAATGATTTAAGTTGACCATGTGAATAGTGGACGGGAACCTTTAAATGGGACGGAGGGAGTACTATATTTGTACTTTATAAATGGTACGTAGTATATTGTTGAGAAAAGAAAAAAAGTAAAATCAACGGGGTAAACTGTTGCCCAATCAACGATAGAAATCATTGCCTAGAATGAAAAGGCTCAAATCCAACTTTATTCCAACATAAGCAATGAACCCTGACAAGGGGTATAAATAGCCTTCTAAGAGAAACCCTAATCGGGCCCAAATTAAATAAATCCTAATGAGGCCCATACTAACTCTACTAAATACTCTAATAATAATAGGCCCAAACTAGAAAACATAACATAAACTTTATAATAATAAATAAAACTATAACCGTAGCCCACAACCAGCCCACAAAGGTGGGCCCAAGCCCGTTCTCGTCCCTTGATCTCTCTGCCCTCTATCAATCCATCCTCCTTCGAAACAGCCTTGTCTTCAAGGTTGGAGTCCGGAAACCGGCTCACATTTGTCCCGGGGGCTGCCCAATATTTTTAGGAAAAATTGAGATGTACTCCTCCACAGTCCCTGTCTTCTTGCCTCCGGACAGCCGTTCAAAGCAACTGCCCTTAAACCGTGAATCAAAACGAGCGACCAATGCCTGTGTAAGCTCATCCCATGACATGCCCGACTTTCGTGCCCGTAACCAGGTCAACCAATATAGGGCTGACCCTTCCATCAATGGCTGCCACCTTTTTTTCCCGGTGGAGTACAGTTCAATTCGAACGGTTGCTCAGCCATATCAACCCAGCTGATCGGTTCTTCTCGGTTAAACGAGGGCAATGTCGTGAGAAAGGCGCTGCACAGTCCAATTCCAAACGAGGAACGAGGATGCTGCTGTCGCGTCGAGTGAAGCCACCGTCATTGAATGCTCCTCGGCCGCTGGCGGCGCAAGAGCCTTTGTGAGCGCAGCCAAGGAGGAAGTGACGTTGCCGGCTGTCCGTCGCCGCTGTGCGCAAATACGGTGGGGCTGCCAACCGCGTCTGAGCTTGTTTCCGTTGTGGTTGGCGGAACGAGCGCCTTGGTAAGCACTGCCAGGGATGCATCGATCTCTGCCAGACGCATGCCGTGCTCCTCTAAGATTTGATTCATCTGAGTTTGCTCGGCCACCATCTCTGTCAAGCAGTCGTTTTCAGATCTCGTCATCCTGGCGCGACGGGATTCGGCAGGTCGGACCAATTGTTGAGAACAAAAAATAAAATAAAATCATCGGGGTAAACCGTTGCCCAAATAATCAACGATAGAAATCGTTGCCCAGAGTCAAAAGGTTGAAATCCAACTTTATTCCTACGAGAATGAACCCTGGCAAGGGGTATAAACAGCCTTCTAAGAGAAACCCTAATGGGGCCCAAATTCAATATAAATCCTAATTAAGCCATACTAACTCTACTAAATACTCTACAAATAATAGACCCAAACTAGAAAACATAACATAAACTTTATAATAATAAATAACACTATAATCATAGCCCACAACCAGCCCACGAAGGTGGGCCCAAGCCCGTTCCCGCCCCTTGATCTCTCTGCTCTCTATCATATATGTTAATGGTACACCATACTGTAAT